GCCAACTCACTCCAGCCCTTCGGCTTGTTGCCTCCTGACCTGCAGCTGTTGAGTCTGCATGAGCTCCCTTTGTTCTCTGGCCTTCAACCGTCCCTCCCTCTGACCCCTAGATGGATTCTGAGAACCGAGAAAGGTTCAAAGAGCCCATCCCACCAGAATGAAATACTTCCAACGTAAGAATAACCAAATTTTAATGGCGCGTTCCGTGACAAAACACAGAAAAGATACGAAAGACTAAACGGTACAGATAAGGCACATGAAGCAGATGGCTAAAATACATAAAATGCACGTTTATCTCAAGACGTAGTGATCTTATTGATATTTGAAGGCAATTTAATCTTCAAGCTGCTAAGTCCTAACGTCTTAAAAAGCATCTAACAGGTGGCCAACCTGTTGGGGACAGGACCTTCGTACCTTAAGTCAGTCTCAAGGCCACTGTGAGTGTTGGGGCACCTTAGATGCTGTAACAACCTTCCTCCACTCTGCCCTTGTTGGCTAGCTTTGTGCACTCTGCCAGCTGAAGCTTTGTCTAGTCCTTAATATTGGTTCCTCAGCTCTTCTTAGGTTACCTCTTTTTCTCTTTCCCTCCACTGAGCCGTGCATTATGGTGTTGGCAAGGGAGTCTGGGATTCTTGCAATGTGTTCGAACCACTGCAGCTTCCTTTGTTGCACCACCTCCAACAGTGGTTCATAGGTTCCAATTTCTTGACTGATTTGCTGCTCGACAGACTCCATGGTCTGGTGCTCAGTGTAAGAGACACACAGCCATCTCCTAAAGCAGCGTGTTTCAAATGCCTCAATTCTGTTCTCTAAATCTTCCTGTGAAGCATCCATGCCTCATAGCCATAAAGTGTCCTAGAGATGACCACAGAGCCTTTGGTGTAATATTGCTGCTCATCCAGCTTTTCTTTAGCTTTGTTAGTTGGCTGGTGGCAGTGCCTATTCTGGTCTTGACCTCCTTTTCAGATGTGAAGTCTTCTGTCCTGGTGGCTCCCAGGTACTTAAAACTTGTTCTCCTTTCAGTTTTTCACTGCTGATGTTCACATCAGCGTTGCTGGTGTTGATCTTGGAGGTTGTCATCATTTTGCTTTTCTCAGTGCTGATTTCCATAGTTCTTTGCAGTTGTCTAGCATTTCTGTCATGTTGGTTATAGCTGTGGTGGTCTAAGGACACAGGCAGACAAAGAAAGTTCTTGAAGCTCTTCAGATATTCCTGCTATCAGATCCATGCCATCAGCAAAGCACAGGTTGCTGATCTTCTTACCTAGGTTTCAGAAATGAAGTTGCTGTAGGGTGCTAACCAGCTATGCCTGAGAGTGGGTGATCTGGCAAGCAACAGAGTTCAAGACCGAAGAGCAGAAGTCCCAGTGGACCTGGTTTTTATGCTCTGCTGCTTGGCTAAAATATTAAAAAGCTTCTGAAGTAAGGTAAAAAAAAGAATGTATAAAAGATATTTCTAATAAATGCACCTCAAATTAATATTCATCTGCCTATTTGCATTCCCGATATAAGTTTTATCTCATCTAAAATGAGCTTTGTCTGTCACCAGAGCACTAGATGTGCTCAAGGAGACCTTCCAACATTTACCCTTGCTTTTTCAATCCATCTTTTTTAACTTTTCTAAAGTGCTTGTGGCAGACGCTCACCTGAGCATTTCCTTTTCCTGTTCTTCTCTTAGCCAAACTATAGTCAAGCAAATCCAAGCAATGCTGTTCTATCCTATCCTTAAACAATTTAAAGCCTCCTGTAGTCTACATGCCCTGGGCCTGTTGACATCTTATCATATTCCAGAGCAGCGGGGCTGGAAGGGACCTCCAGCGGCCATATTATTGGCATCTACATGTGCACTTTAATGTGCTTTAACCCCCCTGACATTGGTAGCAGAAAGGGGAAGAGGGGGCATAATTCCCTCCTGGCCCCATGCAGCAGCTGGCATAGCCCAGAGGCCTGGGAAATCCCTACAGCAGAACACAGGCATCGCTGTGCCTAGATCATCCCCCACCAGTGGTTGCCCATCCTTTTCTTGAACCCTCTGGTGATGGAGAGTACCCCCCTTCCCTGGCATCTGTCCCACAGCTTCCCTGCTCTGACAGTGAAGCAGTATTTCCTGATCTCCAATTTAAACCTCTTTTGCTGCAACTTCAAGCCATTTGGCCGCATCCTCCTCTCTGCAGGAAGAAAGAAAAGGTGTCTCCCTCATCTCCAGTTGCAAAGGTGCCCCAATTCCTGTGCCCCCTGGCAGAGCTGGGTTTCGCCTTACTGCAGCTTGCAGGAAAGATCTGGCTGTCACAGGTGGGCCATAACTGTGGGTGCGTGTGTGTGGGGAACTGATGTCCCTCCAGACACTAGCAACCCCTCTGAGCAGGCGAATCTCCCCTGGCACACCACTACCATGACAGGGGACACTGCCAAGGGACCTGGTGGGTGCTGGGCAGGCCTCTCTCTGCACCTAGGGGGAAGCGCATTAGATAAAGCTTCATGAGGCCACAGCACAGTGCAGGTTGACTAAGAGCTGGGGCAAGAGGAGCACAGATGGTGCCCACGGTGGGGATCACCAGTGCATGGGGATTAGAGTTCCCTGTTCCTCCCCCCTCTCTCTGTCTATTGACTTACCTCCGTGCTAATTGAGACCTGTGGCAGCAGTCAAAGGGGCTGGCTGCATACCTTCTGCAGGAAGTGGGGGAGGGCTCAGGAACGGGGCTTTCTCTTCTTGGGTTTTATTTAAAAAAAAAAAAAAAAAAGGAAAAAAAATCCTAAGACCCCAATTGCCTGCTTGACTGGTTCCTCGGCTGCTATTATGTTTCTAACCACAGTAATTGGCTTTACTAGTTATTAATGGATTACGTGGAAGTTGGGGGGCGGGGGGCACAACCCAACACCTTGCTTTGTACTTCCAGACTTCAGTGGTGAAAACGTTACTCGTGAAATTGGGGGCTGAGTGGTCAATGCGGCTCCTTTGTGCAGCTCCAGCTGATGGGCCTGTTGTCGCCTCCTTTCTTCCCGCTGAATGGCAGGGTGGGGGGCGGCGAGGGCTGGGTAGAAACCCCCAGCCTGTGCTGGGCCATGCTTCAAACACAAGCTCTCAAATGCCATGTCCTAAGTTAAAATGACCTGGGTGACAGCAGCGACATCAGGCTGCTTGCCAGCGCTGTGATCACCTTGTAGACCTTTCATAGGCCTCGAGCATGTCCCTATTGCGTTCACCCTCCCAGCTGCTGGTCACTCTGTGGCTTTGTCCCAGATGGGGGATGAGGATCTGGGTCAGAGTGACCTTGGTGGGGTATCTCAACACAACGGGGCTCCTGCAGCTTGAAGCTCAGGGTTGGGCCTTATGTCACTGACCCTGGTACGTGCCCACCTTGTGTGCCAGTCCACACCCCTTCTGCCACCTCCCCAAGAACCTCGTGTTGAGGTCCTGGCTGCAGCTTTCCTTGCACTCTTTAATTTATGCACCCCCCAGCCATAGCCTTGCAAAGTCCTAGGACCTTCTGCTCAACCCTTTCGTGGCCTTGGCCAAACTGCATATACCAGACCTGGAGGCAGGTGCTGGCCAGGGGAGTTGTGGTGACTGCGGGCCTGTCTTCCTTTCCCTTGGCGGAGTTTCACTGGGCAGCACCCACTGGCTCCCTAGATCTGCTCAGGGGGCCGTGGGTTGCTTGGCATCCTCACGAGTAGCTTATATCCTGTGCTCCTGTTCCTGCTTTCTCATCATTCGAGCCACGTGCTCAGTTGTACATTTAATGGCCTTTGCATGGAGTTTGGAGTGCTGGTGGGCCTCGTCTCGCCGTCACTTTGCAGCAGATAGTCCTGTCCCAGTGAAAGACTTGGGGCTGGTGAGGCGAGGGGGGCTCCTGGGACCAAGCAGCCTATTCACCTGGCAGGGCCGCTGACCTGGTGCCACAGCAGCACCTGAGCAAATCCACGTGAGGCCTAGGAGGTAGCTCTGAAAGGCTGTGAACGTGCAGCTGCTCTTTGCCTCTGATTCTAGGCATGATTGTGACGCAAGAAGCAGGACTTCTGGGTAGAAAGGAGCCAGGAGCCTTGGGCCAGGTCTCTCCATCAGCATGGAGTCCTCTTCCCCATGGGCAACAAAGATGATGAGTACTATGGAGGGGCTTCCCTATGAGGAGACGCTGAAGAGGCCAGGCCTGGTCAGGTTAGAAAAGAGACATTTGAGGGGGGACATGAATCATAGAGAATTTGGGTTGGGAGGGACCTCAGGAGGTCACATCTCATTAACCCCCCGAACCCTCTGCTCAAAGCAGGACCAGCCCCAACTACATCATCCCAGCCAGCCATTTTATTAACGAGAAGATTTACAAAATACTAAATGGAGAAAAGAAAGTCACTCGGGATTTATTTTTGACTATCACCAGACGAGAACAGGGGGTCATTGCATGATACAAGCGGGACGGCAGTTTAAAACTAACCAAAGGAAGTTTTTTTCCCCCCAGCTTGGAATGAAAGGGGGGAGCTTGTGGCCCCCAGATGCGGTGGGAGCTGAGAGCTCAGCCAGGTTCATACTGGGTCGGACATGTGCTTGGAGGAAAGGGGCATTGGTCGCTACTGAGCAGGGAGTGTGGCGCATGTTCTCTGCACCGGAGTTGCCTGGGCCTTAAAGGAGGGGAACCCCTGCTTGAACCGGGTCACTGTCCTGTCCAGCCTCTGCGCTCTGCCTGGGCGACGCTGGAGACTGGGCAGGATGGACCCGGGTCTGACTCTGACCCTGCATGTGGCAGCTCTGATGGAGGAGAGGTTTTGAGCCCTGTGCTAATGCTCGTGTCCAGAGGAACTAACCTGCTCAAGCCATAACCTGCAGGACTGCAGCTCAGTGCGGGATTCCCACACGACTGCCCGTGCACTCGTTTCTGACCGGCAGCCTCTGCTCTTCCAGCCCTGGTTCCCTGCTGTGTTGTGTCTATGGAGCAGTGTCTTCCAGGTAACACTGCTCTTCATACTCCCAGACCAGGTGGTAATGACCCTTCTCTGTTTGTTCAACAGCTCGTTCGTGACTGGGACCGCTTGCTGCGGACACACCTCACCTCTGCGCATCTGGGACTTGGAGAGGTAAGAACGGCTTCGAGTCTCCGCGGGGCCTGCTTTGGGTTTGGGTGAGGGAGGGGAGTCTGCCCGAAAAAGAGACCCCTGAGCCAGCTTGTAGTTGCATTGTTATCGTCTGGTTTGCCAGTTTGATCACTGCCAAACTGCCTTTTTTGTCCGTGAAGGAGACCTAAATGTGAGTGGTGGATGAGTGGAGAGAGCTCTGGGGTGGGGACAGAGTTGGCAGCTGGGGTTGGATGTGGAGGCGTGATCAGAGGAGAGGACGAGGAGTAATTCTGTGTTGGAAGAGCAGGGCCCAGTGCCTGAGAGTCTCTTCCTGTCTCTTGCCCCATCCCGTCTAAATACCCCAAGCCGTGGAGCGTCCACCCAATCCTCTGGGGTCGTGCTTTGTGGCTATCGCATTCTTGCTCTCTGGACCTGTTCTGGGTGTTCAGGTTCATCCCAGCAGTCATAGCTGGACCATGGAGCCCAGACCTTCCTCACGAATGCCAGGGCCTGGGGGTTGCCGGCTGGGATCAGGGGGCACCCAGTATCACGGCTTCTCCTCTTTTAAACTAGATTGTCCCCTCGAGCTGCTGAGCATAGTCGGGAGGTTCCTCGGGGTTTCCTCCCGTTGGCCTGTGTTTCTCCAGCGCCCAGAGGCCACGTGCAGATGCTCTCATCCAGGCCTACAGTAGCAGGGGCAGGCACAGCACAGATAAGCCCGACAGCCTCCCCCTTGCCAGTCCAGTCTCTTTCCCCTCCCTGCTCTGCTGCTCTGCTTTCTGCTCCCTGCCATGTGCTCCTGCCTGACCTGCTGCTCTGCTTGTGTCAGTTGTGTGTCCCCACCCTGTTTGCTGCTCTGCTTTTTGCTGTGCGCCATCTGCCCTGTCTGCTGCTCTTCTTTTTTCTCCCTGCTGTGCACCCCCTGCCCCGTCTGCTGCCTTGGTTTCTCCTCTGTGCTCCATGCCTGATGTGCTTCTCTGCTTTCTGCTCCCTGTCTGCCGCTTCTTTCCCCTGCCTGATCTGCTGCTTTGCTTTCTGACCTGTTCTTTGCTCCCTACCTGATTGCCTTCTCTGCTTTCTGTTCCCTGCCTTATCTGCTGCTCTGCTTTCTGCTTCCTGCCATGTGACCCCTGCCTCACCTAGTGCTCTGCATTCTGCTCCCTCCTCTATACTCCCTGCCTACTCTGCTTTATGCTTTCTGCTCCCTGCCCCATTGCTGCTCTGGTTTCTGCTCCCCATCTGATTTGCTTCTCTTCTTTCTACTCGCCATCCTATCTGCTGCTCCCATCCCCTCCCCGGTCTGCCACATGCCCCACACAGAGGCAGTCAGTGCCACTTGTGGGCCCTGTGTCACAGGTTGGCCACCCCGGCTGACAGCTTCATGGGCATGCGGAAAGGATGGTCTGGTCTCCGTTGCAGCTTCTGCTTCCTCTCCGGACCGAGGAGGGGTCGGGAATGAATTGTTCCATCTGATAACCCGTGGGCCTCTCTGGCTGCGAGCGGAGAAGGCCGATGGTCTCGGCGTTTGAGGCTGCTGGAGAGGGGGGTCCATGCGTCAGCCCTCTGACTGGAGGAATCTGGATGCCCGCAGGGTCAAATCCTGACACGCATCCCAGCTGAAGACAAATTTGTGGCTGTCAGCCCTGGGGCCTTTGTGCTCCGATGCCTGAATAGCAAATATCTGACAGGATTACCAAACCGCAGCCCAGCTTTACATGATTAGCGTGCTCTGTGGAGGGGCAGCACGGCTGTAGACGGGGTGGGGGGGACTGCCGTTCGGGATGCAGCGCACTGTCAGCACAGAGGAGGGGGGGACAGGGCCAGACGACCGGGGTGGGCCATGCATTGGTGTTTGGGGCATCGGCAGGCCTCTCGTGCCGTGGCTGAGGTGCACTGGCTGCAGTTGGAGGCTGGGGATGCCATGTGCTGGAGCCAGCTTCTGTGCCTCTGGCCTGCCCATCTCGGCCTTTCCGAGAGGAACATGAGGGGAATGGGATGGGGAAGGGGCATAAGAGCATCAGAGCTGCCCTGTGCAGGGTCAGACCCGGTCTGTCTTGCCCAGGATCCAGTGGCATATGGGCAGAGAGCGGAGGCTGAAGGAAGAGTGACCTGGGTCCCAGCAGGGTTTCACCTGCTCCTCTCTACCTTGCAGCCTTTAAGGTCCAGGAAGGTCTGATGCAGAGGCCGTGCCCTGCACTCCCTGCTCTAGAGCCACCGAAGACCCTTTCCTCCAAGCACATGTCCCATCCCCTTTGAATCTGGCTGCTAGCTTTAAGTTGCTGGCCTCCTAGCTTCATGATGTGACCCTTCAGAGATCTCCTGTGTCCCCCCCAGCAGCTCTCCCCAGGTCCTGCTCCTGGATGAAGAGGCCAGAGAGCGTGGGCGCTGGATGCCGAGGTGACAGGGCCTGTGCAATCCCCTGAGGGCAAGAGACAAGCTTTGACAAGCTCCCCGGGCTGGTGCCATGACCTCCTGTGTTCATGAGCTCCTCCCGGTTCCTCTCAAATAGAGGCATATGCCAGGAGCCAGTGGATGGGCCGCGGGGGCAGGGGTGTTCCTCTCCTGAGGAAGCACGGACAGATAATAAAGCTGTGTAGAAAATAGGATTAAGGTAATGAACAGGCACGGAGGAGTTTGATCTTTCAATAACGCCAAAGCCTGACTGACAGGCAAATCAAAAAGCCGGGGACAATCTCGCCAACGGGCGTCCGCCGCCGTGGCTGGAGTGTCAGCCCGATTCTTCCCTCTTCACCTGTCACAGCTGGAATGCAGCGTGCCGCTGGATGGCTTTTTCTTTCCCGGGCCCTGTCCATGGGGCGGCCGGGTGGGGGGCCTGCAGAGAGCCCCGAGCGGGCCACGGGCACAGAGCGAGGATGACTGGGGAACCTGGCCATGGCACAGTGGGGCAGTTCGTGGGGCAGGGCAATAGGGGATCTCAGCAGCTCTTGCTTTCTGTACAAAGCATCCTCCTGTTTGGCACTGGACTCCTGTGCAGAGCCCATTGGCCTTGCTCCCCTGAGCTGAAAAGCATGAGCTTGGCGATGTTGGACATGGGTGCAGGGCGGGCAGGGAAGCCCTCTTCTTGTCTGGAGCCAAGGAGGATGTCTGCAGAGCTCGGGAGCTGTAGCCAAGCGTGGGAGCACCAGAGATTCTCCCGCAGCGTCTGTGCCTGTCATCTCCCCATCACGACTGGCTCCAGCTGGCTCAGGGCGCTGGCGATCACTGGTGGAAATGGAGACCCTGAGTCTCTCCAGCTGACACGAGTCCTTAGAGGCTCTGGCGATGATGGAAGCACCTGTGCAGTGTTTTCATGGAGCAATGCTGGGCCAGGCTCTGCCAGGCACTTGTATCTGAGAGCAGCATGCAGGCACCCGCCCCTTTCACTTGTGCCCACTTTGGGCTTTCTCCTCTCACCCCGTCAGGCCTGGGGTGTCTCCAGGATCAACCAGGGCATCTTATTGCCCATGTTTTCCAAAGCTTGATGCCATGATTTTTTTAAAGCTAAGCTTCAGTAGGCTCTAAGGCAGGGGCACCAAACTCACATGGCCATGTTGGCTGAATGAGTGGCGTGGGACCAGTCAGTGGGCTGGATTGGGCCCATGGACCCCCTGCCACCATCTGCATGGCTGATCCAGCATACATGGGACCTGGCCTGAGCAGGCTGTATGGGTGGTGCAGCCCAGGACCTGGCACCGTGGGCAGCGATGTCCCAGATCCTGCACATGGGACCAGTTCAGCATCACCTGTGAGTCAATGGGCCAGCACAGAGGCTAGGTTATGGGGCTGCGTGTTTGACACCCTATCTCTACAGCCTCCTGGTCTCTCGGGGTAGGGATCTTTCTGGATCTGGAACATGCGACACAAGGATTTACCACCAAATAACCTCTGGTGTCCAGACCAGCTTTGTTCCAGGCCGGTGGAGTTGGTGGCTGAGGCTTCTAGCTGCTCTTCATGCTCTGACGTCTTGACCTGTCCCTCTGAGGAGTTTCCTGACCTGTGCAAAGGATGGACTGAGGTTGGGGGAAGACATTTGGGGAACACTGTCCCCCTGACCAGCTTGTGTTTCCCGAGCCTGCTCAGCTGCTTCTCTTGGGGCTTTGGTCCGGTGCCATTTGCAAGCCTGAGCCCGCGGCAGTGGAAGAGCCGTGTAACATCCAGGCGCTGTCTGAGGGCTGGAATTGCAGCCGCAGCCACCCCTGGCCGTTCCCCTGCTGGGAGCACGAGCTGGACACTCGTTCACGAGGTGTAGGGTCACTGCCTTCTTCTAGGCTGCATCCTTGGGCACAGATGCACCGCCCTGGCACCAGTGTTTTCTGCTCCCTGCCTCCAACCCTACCCTATTGCTGCTGTTGTCCCAGAGATGTTTTGAAAGGCTCGGCACATCCTGTGTGTCTCGCGCTACGGGGAGGGGCGATGAATCCCCTGACCATTAGAGAAGCTGGGGAGTCACTTCTGTTGCTCACAGGTCTGGGAAGAGCTGGGAGAAGTCATGGGGCTGTTGTTTCCAGACACGGTGCTTCTCCTTTGGACCAGACTTTGGGGCGGTTGAGGAGTCTACTTCAGGCCTGGGAGGACTGATGGAGGGGGTCTGGTCTGTCGCCTGTCCGGCTCCCACAGACATCTTTTGCAGGACACCACACCTCTGTAGGCTCATCACTGCTTGCACCTGCCTTTCTAAGCCTTCTTCATTCAGACCCCTTCCCAGAAACCCCTCTCTTCCCACAGCAGAAACACCCTGCCAGCCCCTTGAAGGTCTGGGCACTGGATCCATCCTCTACGTCCGTGTTGCCCCTGCTTATTCAGGGAGAAAACTCTGTGGGGCATGGGTCAGGACAGCTTGTAAACCCAGCTAGAAATCTGGGCTCTCCAACCCTGTCCATGGAGCTGTCCCACACCTCCGACCTGGTTGGCCATCTCCACATCCCACTCGCTCTGGACGTGTCACACTGTCCTTGGCACCCCTGGGGCACGCAGGGCCATCCCCACATCCCACACACTCTGGACCTGTCGTGCCACCCGTG